TGTCTGTCATTTTTCTTTTGGAATGAAGGGATTTATTATATCCCTTCCTGATAAGTAACTTTTGATCAGATACAAGAATGAGCACTAAGCATTAGAATACGAGGTGGGTGCAGCTGGGGCGGGGGTTGAACAGACCAGAAGACAGACTTCATTTTGGTCTCTGACAGCTCTCCAACAAAAAGTGCAGGAAGAGACTGCCTTGCACCAACTGCTCTGCTAGGAACTAGGGATAAACTCAGAGATGAAAAGATGAGCAGCTTCTCACCTCCGTGACCTTAGAATCTTATGGGTAGGTGAACAGACAAAGATAAACAGATAAATGTAGTGCACACGGAGAGGACTTTGCAGAAAGGTTAGTGGCGAAGGGCACCGAGGACAGGGCCCAGCAAGGGTCATTGGGAACGCTGCAGAACACGCTTCCCTTTATTGTCTTCTCCAAGTGTCTGTTTCCAGGTAGGGACAGGATGCCCTGAGCTTTCGTTCAAAACATCTGCCACCACGGGCTTCTAATCCCACTGCTGCTGCTTCTCAGCACCTCTTTGCTTGCCGGGGTCCAGGCCGTAGCAGTGAGCTGTGGTGCTGCCAGGGTTGGAGCCTCCCATGAGTCGAGCTGCTGTCCGCCAGCTTTGGCCTCCTGGACCTGGGCCGTGTACTTCTCTGAGCCCAGGATTTGAAATGGCTGCTGGGCCTCATGCTGGGACGGGGGCTGGTTAAAGAACATCCAGGAAGCTGTCGTATCTGCAGTGTCACAGGTCTGCATTGCTCTTTCCCAGAGTGTCCAAGTGCTTGAAATTCTCTGACACTCTTGAGTCTTGACTATCTGAATAAGACAAAATGTTAATATTCAGGAAAGAATACTCTGGAAACGGGAGGTTGAATTTCATTATAAGCTTCAGTTCATTTAAAAACCTCTGGTAGAAAATTTCTCAGTGCACAGCAGTAACACACTGAATTATGCAGGCGGGAACTAAGAGCTGACCATGCGCGGTAGCTGTCAAAACCCGAGTTTGGGAGACGGCCGTGGCCGCAGGTCCCTGTGGGCTACCTGGCCTCCTCATAGGTGTTTAGGAGATGACATTTAAGGCCTGTACCCCGGGAAGCTTACTTCTCTCTCCCTTGGGATTCAAGATTAGAGAATACTCAATTATCTCTAGTTCTTTCAGACTCTGAAAAGTCATGTGTAATAATAAACTTGGTGTGTGTGTGTGTTTATATGTTTCAATCAAAGCAGTTTCATAACAATGATAGCAGCAACTGTACCAGCAGAGAAAACCTTTGTCTCATCATCTCTGCTAAATACTATAGTAGCTTGATATTTGGGACTTTTAAAGGCAAAAGCCTTTATGTATGTCATTTACTGTGAGAAAATATGAACTCCTTATAGTAATCTGAAATATGTATAATCCATTTTAAACTTTGTACCACATTTCTGTTTCATTTTATTAGTCTCTTGGTCTAGTCCTGACTTGATTTAAGTATCAGAGTTACTGGAAGAAATTGTTTCTCTTTAAAGGGTTTCAAGCTTAACTGTCTAAAGGCTTAAATATAATTTCTTCATTGTTTCTTTACAATTTCTATAAAAATACAATTATTATTTTCACACAGGAAGCTGAAAAAGCAGGCTGTTCTAAAGGAAGCTCTTGTGTAGTTCCTTCCTTTCTAAACTTTAAGCCGAATGCTTTTCCTCACTCCAAGTTCAAGGGCTTACTTTACGTGCATGAAAATAAACTGAACAGCACCTGCCACTTAGTCACAAAAGGAATATCTTGAAGCTGCTAAGCAAACAGATGTACTCAGTTTAAGCTTTTGAGATGCTCAAAGCATGTGGTAAAAATACAAATTTCAAAATGAATAGTATGAGGAAATAAAGTCAGAAGGAAACATAAACCAAGGGGTCAAGTTTGATACCTGAATTGTGTACATTTTACTCTCAGTGCTGTCATTATGGCGGGAACTGGTACTTTGAAAAATCTGTCCTTGAAAACAGAGTTGTCAGTATTTTCCCAAGGAAAGAGTTGGCATCCTTTATAGTTTTTTTTCTTTCTTTTTAAAAAATTTGTTGTTAACAACTCTTTGGAATAGCAAGAGGAGAAAAATATAACAATACTAAATGCTTCTGTTGTAAAATTATTCAGCATTGTCTGTTGACTTCAGTTAGTTCAAGAAAGTCTACTCTAAATATGTTTTAATACAGACAGCTTGCTGAAGTCTACAGTAGCTTGTTAAGTTCTTGACACTAACAGAAGAAATGAGGTAGGTAGCCAAGGTTTAGTGTAAATTTAGTATAAATAATTGTGTTTGGTTCCAATAAAACACTGGGAGCCCTATTCATGTTTATCAAGGCTCAAAGTTCACTAGCAAATTACCTCAAAATTCATATTTGAATAATTAGAGGGGAGAATGTAGAAGCCTTGCTAGAAATTTTATAGCTACATTTTGTTATCAGCAGAGCTCTGTGAGCTGACAGTATGAAGAATACCAAACACAACTTCCAGTCTTTGCCAAGGAATCGGACAAGATTTCCATCACAGATGAGGCAAACAGCATTTGAAATTTTGTTGCTGAGTCAGAATAGGAGGGGAAGAAGCAAACAGTAAGGGTCAGTATGGTTTGCCCTTTAATCTCAAAATGATTTTAATGATCCTTAGAGTAGGGTTTGTATCTTGTTAGTCTGTTGCCCTGAGACTTACTAGAAACTTCAAAACAGCGCTTGAGCTGCGCTTCTCATGGTAGGACAAGGTAGGCTTATCTTCAGGAAGGTCCTGGTGGAGGCAGTCCGGCAGCTTAGGAGCACCGATGGTCAAGAGCTGACTCTCCTGAACTGGATATATGCAGAGGCCAGGATCAGGTGGCTAGTTCCACGGTGTAATTTTTGTCAGTGGAAGTGTGGTGCCGAGGGTCTCAGTGGGCAAATAGAAAGGGTTCTGGAAGAGGCAGAAGGGTGTCATGGAAGGAACTCAGAAGGCAGACAGGAGACAGGCCCTGTTCCAACTCTCTCAGCGACTGCCTTTGTGACTAAGGACAAATCACTTTAATTTTTTGGGCCTCCGATTCCTTATTTATAAAACGAGGGAGCTGAATCCTGCGATTTCAGAGGTCCTGGCCCCTTCCAGCCTCCAAGTGCGGTGACTCTTAAGAACTTCACCAGTGTAGTGCCATGTCTCATCTTATGCATCTTGTGACAATTACACTGTCCTCTTCCAGAATTTAGGTTGAAATTGATCCATAATATGCTGACAGTCACCAGGTTCTGTTCACTTGTCTCTGGGGAGTGTCTTTTTTGTTTGTTTTCCTTTTTTCCTTCTCACTATCTCCACAGTGGACTAGGCTCTCACTGTTCTTGTCAAGATAATTGCCTCACCCTCTTGACTTTGCCCTTCATTCCTCCAACCTGCATGCTATTCCTGCAAGTGTAAATCCCCCACCTCACCCCACCTCACCTCTCCCCTCCCCATCCCATCCCATACGAAGCTGTGAGTCTTATCTCTCTTAAATCCTACTTTCATCGTGAGCATTTTCTTGTTCAGAAATCATCAGCCTTATACTTTGTGGTAAGATACTTTGTGATCTTGTCCCACCCCATCCATCCAACTTTATTTTCTGTCACGTTCCAACACACCCTGCTATGTAATTAGACTGCTGTTAGCACTGTTTTCATAAGCATTCTATACTCTTCCCTGCTTATGTAACTTGGTGGTTTTGTTTCTTTCATCTGGAATACTTTTTTCTCTTCCTAACCTATACATTTAGCAAATTTAAGATGCAAGAAGGGTAGGATAACCGAATGCAGCTCTGTAGATTGAGGGTGGGGTGGGAGAGAGAGGTGGGTTAGCAATGGCATGAAGGAAGGAACATTTGGGAGCAGGAGGGAAGGACAAGTAGAGGTTAAGCATTCACAGATTTAAGTCAGAGAGAAAGGAAGTTTTTAAGAAGCTCACATCAAGTGTTTGCCCTCAATAAAATAGAAGCCAAGTTCATCTGCCCAGAGTCATGGGTAGGGGGAATGATGCTAGGGACTTGAAGAAATAAGGAAACCACCACTTCCTGTGGGCTTTGGGGTGGGCATTACTAGAAGTGAATAAAGGATTTACTGAGAAACATTGAGAATCCAGCTGAAATGAATTAACATGAGTTTGTGATGGATGCATTTCCATCTTTCCAAAGTTGTCCAGTAGTGCTTGGCTGGAGGGCTCCGGCTGGGGAAACCCAGAGCTGGGTATGGATATTGTGAAGTGGCTGGATCCTCCTCTGCCCAGAGAGGAAGGGGAGGGACATGCCCCATCTGTTCATCCTCTCAGCTGCTGTTTTCTCCTTTTCCTGAGTCCTCTAACGCTTCCCTCCTTGCCTCACACTCACTTGATGGCCTCGGTCCCGTGCACTGAGGAGCAGCCAGAAGAAAACGTCCCCAAGCTCTTCCTGCCGAACTGCCTGCCTGCTGAGCCATGTGCCCCACACTTGCTTTCCCTCTGTCAGCGCGGTGGGCATGCTCCGCGCACAGCCAGCAGTCCTGCTGGACCCGATGCCGTCCCCTCCTACCTGCCCAGGAGCTGCTTCGCTGACTTTACGCTTCCTTCCTGACCTCATCGGTTTTTCCCGGATCCAGGCAGGTGTGGAGTAGGGGTGGTGTGGAATTTCATCAGCGCCGAGGGTCTGCCGAGCCAGCGCAAAGCAGCCATGGAGTTTGTGACCCACTGTGCAGTAGAAAGAGCGGAGAGACCAGGTCAGGGAACCAGGGACATAACAAGGTGGCAGGATCAGTGGTGCGGGAACCCCAGGAGGGTGAACGGATTGTTGGATTCAGAATCTGAAAGACAGTGAGCCGGAAATCTAGGAGGCACTCCTTGGAGGCTGGGTGCAGGAACCTGCCATGATGGAGGCTTATGCCTGGTTTGGCGAATGATCATGGGGCGAGTGGCTGAGGAAGGGTGAGGAGTTGCTGGATAACAGCTTCAGTAGTTGTGACAGAGTCTCTGGATGTGACATTCAAAGGCAAGGGACTCATGCATCTATTTGACAGGCCCAGAGCGATTACTTCTGCTGCTAAGGTTTCTCCTACAGATACAAGAAAAAAGCATCCTGGCGCTTTCTGTCTGTCTGTGGCAGCCCAGATTAAATGCGGAAGTACAGGGGAAAAGTTTTGCAACTTAGATATAACTCTGTGAACGGCAAAAGCCTGCTTTACTCCACGTGCCCCCCGCCCCACCCCCAAAAAGTGAAGAACAAACTACTGTGTACAGAATAAACAACATGCTACTACTGTATAGTGCAGGGAACTATGTTCAGTACCTTCTAGTAAACTGTAATGAAAAATAATATGTTTGTGTGTGTGTATATATATATAAACTGAATCACTATACTGTAGACCAGAAAATAACATAATGTTAAAAAAAAAAAACAGACAAGCAGAGGGACTTAGGGAGAAAGGAGAGAGAGTGGTTTGGAAACCACAGCGATAAGCAGGATGGTGCCTACCTCGCCTGCAAGCCTGGGAGCAGAGGTTGTGGGAGGGAAAACCAGCACCGCGAGAAGGAGCTGCGAGGAAGGAGAGCCAGGTTTTCTGCTTCTGCTCTCAGCCTGGGAGCCAGAGCCGTCGCTTTACAGTAGAGGTCTGAAGTTTTCATTCCCATCCCCCTCAGAGTCCTGGAGTAGCTTAGTCCCTCACCTGCGTCAGAGTTAGGTGGTCCAGGTGCCTCCTCGGGCATTTCTGGCTACCCTGTGTGAAATGGCATCCTCTTGCCAAGCTCCCCTTCCTGTTTTTCTCCGCAGCACTTATCGTGCTTGAGAGTACACATTTTGTCTATTTACATATTCCATAATGGCAGAGATTTCTATATGGGTTATTGTATTTTATTTTTAATATAGCTTTTTCCCCTGTACCTACAGCAGAACGTGGCAAAAGGCAGATTATGTAACTAATAGTAGTTGAAAGTAGAGTGGATGGTGGATGAAGGGAGAGACGACGAAAGAGGTACAGGAAGGAGGAAACGATGTGGTCACAGGAGGTTGTTCCAGAACTCAGGCTCTAGGGTGGGTGTAGGATGTGAGTGTTCTTGTGGGAGGCTGAAGAGAATGGGAAGGTTCCTGTTGTTGAGGAAACTGGATTGTGGGACACTGGATAATAAGAGGGAATTCCAGCTCCTCTAGCATGACAACAGAGGTTACGGAGAAAGAAAAACGACAAATCAGGCCCAGTCACCGGGGAATTTAGGGTGTCTGGGTGGCCTTTAGATGACTCTAACAAATTTGAGGACAAGATCTTTTTTTTTTTTTAAAGCATATCCACCAAGATAGTAAGTAATAGTTGTGAGGTATTATTGCCTCCTCTTACTCAAGCTTGATTTTCCCCCACCCCAGTTCTCCTGCATGCATTTAGTCAAAAGTGAGTTCCTTTAGTTTTGTAGATCACTTGAATTTTTTTTAGTATTAAAAAGTATTATATAGATAGAACTAAAATGTGCTAACACTGGTTTTTAAAAGTCTGTTACTCTGGCCTGGGAGAATAAGAGTGTCAATAAAACAGCTGCTGTGGATGGCCGGTCCCTTCAGGTCTTTAGCGGCAGAGTACTGGTATTTGCTTTTCGAACTGTCATAGGTTCAAAATACAGTGCATGATTTATACTGATCTGTTTGTGGTTGGAAACTTTAATGTTGCCAAGGTCTTCACAATTGACATCTGAATATCTCAGTTATGTTTCTGGTAAATTTATTATTTTAAAATACCCTGCCAGACCATAGTGCTTTCCAAAGTTGGCAGCATATTATTGCTCATGACCTCATTTATTATTCAAACTGATTGTAAGTGTTCTGAATGTTTCAGTATACAACTATTCATTTTATCCACTTGAAGTGCATTTTAGGTGTACTTGGACATATCTGAAGGGTTGTTTTCGTCTAGTCTACATAAGCATAAAATAAATGTTTTAAGTATTTGAAACCCCACTTCCCACATTTTATTCTACTTTTAGGTGCAAAGTACCTTCCAGAACATCAGACAGTGTAGTCCGGTTCCCAGTAGGATTTCTTCAGGGTAATAGCTTCCTTCGAGCCTACGCTTGAGGCTCTGTTCTGCCCTGTTTCTGCTGGCTTTGAGCTTTGCCGAGTTCCATCTCCTACCCTCAGCTTTCAGCTGTTATTTTCTCCTGTTCTCTGGTTTTCTCCAGTTTTCTGGTTTGCTTCAGTTCAGTTTCTTACTCTCTGTCTAGTCCCTTTAGATCAATAACTTTTCATTATCCTTTAGATCTTGGTTTCAGTATCCCTTGCTTAGAGAGATCCTTCTAGATTCTCTTCTT